GGAGACAGGAGACAAGGGGAGCGAGCACAGAGGATGATGATGATGATGGAGACAGGAGACAAGGGGAGCGAGCACAGAGGATGATGATGATGATGATGATGGAGCAGACGACAAGGGGAGTGAGCACAGAGGATGATGATGATGGAGACAGATGGATGACAAGGGGAGTGAGCACAGACGATGATGATGATGGAGACAGACAACAAGGGGAATGAGCACAGAGGAGGAGGAGGAGGAGGATGGAGACAGATGACAAGGGGAGTGAGCACAGAGGAAGAGGATGATGATGATGATGACGATGATGCAGACGACAAAGGGAGTGAGCACAGAGGAGGATGATGGAGACAGACGTCAAGGGGAGTGAGCACAGAGGATGATGATGATGATGGAGCAGACAAGGGGAGTGATCACAGAGGATGATGATGATGATGATGGAGACAGATGACAAGGGGAGCGAGCACAGAGGAGGATGATGATGATGATGATGATGATGATGGAGACAGACGACAAGGGGAGTGAGCACAGAGGAGGAGGAGGATGGAGACAGATGACAAGGGGAGTGAGCACAGAGGAAGAGGATGATGATGATGATGATGATGATGATGACAAAGGGAGTGAGCACAGAGGAGGAGGATGATGGAGCAGATGACAAGGGGAGCAAGCACAGAGGACGATGATGATGATGATGATGCAGAGGACAAGGGGAGTGAGCGCAGAGGCTGGTGACAGTGCAGGATTGTCACAGTGGACGACAACAGGAACACAGAGGGTGGTGGGGACGGTTCAGGATTTGAGGGAAGCCGAATACCAAATTTAATAATAGTAGACCAAATGCTGTATCAGGAAATGAGGGAAGCTTAATACAAGCTGAAGGTCACCTTGTGGCATTGGGGCGTTCCCTAGGAGTCAACATTGTTCTTCGTTTGTGTCAAATTAATCCCTCCCTCTTGAGATTAGCATAAAGAGGAACTTGGCCTTATCTGTAAAAGACTTCACCATTATCCTTTGGTTTTGCTTTGTACTTCCTTGTGATTTTACTTTGCTTACCTTCCTTATGATTCTAAATAAATACTCAGAGAAGCATGGCTTGGGGCCTTCAGTCATGGGAACTGTTGGCCCCCTGTTTTTCACACTCTCTGTTCTATATCATTCCTGGTAGTCTGTCTCATTATTAATAATTATAAAATTATTTCATTCTTTGGGACCCTCGGTCTGCAACAAGGATTGTCACAGTGACAGCATTAGGAGTGAGCACAGAGGGTGGTGATGATGGCGCAGGTTCAGTCAAAGACCTCGTGTTGCTCACTGGACTGCTCTTGGTCAGTCTCCTCTGTGCCACCTAACACTAACCTTCCCTGACTCCCGGCCTCCAGCCCATTTCCACAAGACCGTGC